TGCGACGACGACTTCTCCATCCACGCCGCGCACGTGGTCTGCAGGGAGCTGGGCTACGTGGAGGCTGTGTCCTGGTTGCCCAGCTCCAAGTATGGAAAGGGAGAAGGTAAGTTCGCTCCCGGGATGCAGCTCTGGGCTGGGTGTCTCCCAGTAACTCCTGAGCTCTCCGTCCGATCTAGGATGCAGTGATGCTTCCTACAGCTGGAACTGAAACAGCCTCCAGGTGATGCGGTGTCTCCTTAAATCAGGCTCCCCTCAGGTTCAACAGCTGGAATAAGAGGTGTGTGTTTGTTTAGAGCAAAAGGAGTGAAGGGATGATGAGATAGAGCTGAAGGAGCAGGTCCTGGGGGGGAACTCTGTCGGGATGCAGGGGAGCAGCCCCTGCTGTGGGTAAGGGTAGGAGGCTCTTCAGCAGCCAGTACAGCTGGTCAGAAGGGAAGCTGCACCCTAAGTGTGGTGTATAGATGGTCCATTTCCCTATTCATGCCTCCATTGCCTTCCAGTGAGTCAAACAGCCTCTAAACACTCCTTCACCCTACTCGTTTTCTCCTCGGGCTCTGAACAGACTATGTGATGCTACACAAGTACTTCTTCTCCCCATTAGGCTCTTTGAAACACACGCAGCATCCTCTGCAGTGCAGACGAGCCTGTAAAACCCCAGAGGAGGGTGCACACTTCGTGTCCTGTGCAGGACTATGTTTGTCATAATCCCTTTGGGCACTCTCAGGCTGTTCCAGGTGGGGAAAAGCTGCTCACCCACCCCAAAGTGTCCGTCCTGCCTTGCTCTTTGAAATGGCACATGATGGACGTGTGGACAATTGTGGATTGGATCTTGCTGCACCTCAGTCCCAAAGATGTGCTGAGCAATACCTGAGACGTGAATGTTTGTGTGTTGTGGCAATGGAACTGGTTGCTGTGAGATGTCACTGGAGTGAGGGTTCTCTGCACACTGGAATAGTGCTGGGTAAATCCCTGTGCAGGAGGACGGTGCCTTCCTCCAACCTCAGAGCCAGGCTCTGTGGGACATCTTGCTGTTCTGCTGTTTGGGGAGCACATCCCCCCATTAACCCACTGGATCTGCTGGGGCTGCTGCAGCAAAGCTGGGACAACCGAGGGAAATGGAATCAGGACGGTTTGGGTTGAAGGGACCTTAAAGCTCCTCCAGCTCCAACCCCTGCCCCGGGCAGGGACACCTTCCACTAGAGCAGGTTGCTCCAAGCCCCTGTGTCCAACCTGGCCTTGAACACTGCCAGGGATGGGGCAGCCACAGCTCCTCTGGGCACCCTGTGCCAGCGCCTCAGCACCCTCACAGGGAAGAGCTTCTGCCTAATGTATAACCTAAACAGAGACGTAGATAACATAAGGATTAAGTTCCCCGACATGACTAGAACTAGTTGTTACAGACAACTCAACAGCTACAGGGGCTCTGAAGCTCTGAGCTCAGGCAGCCCCTTCTGTCCAAAAGTCATGGTGCTCTTCAGACAAGCAAAGCATTTGGAACCCCAAAATAGGGGAATTGCTTGTTGGCTTTTGCTCTGCTTCCCTCTGAGCCTACTGTTCATTGCCATGGAGGTAAGGGAAAGGGGAAGCTGTGGGGTGGAGCTGGTTCCACTTAGGAAGTGCTTAAAGTGGCTCATTGATGTTCCTTACCTGGTTTGTTGAAGCTCGCTTTAGCAGCACTCCCTTCCCCTGCCACAGAGCACAGCACCTCGTTTGCTTTCAGTGCAACCCAGATTTACCCTCTTCGTGAGTCTCACTTCTATTTTCTTTCCCCTTCAGGGAAGATTTGGATGGACAATGTCCACTGTAACGGGAAGGAGCCCACGCTGGCAGCATGTACTTCAAATGGCTGGGGAGTAACTGACTGCAAACACACCGAGGACGTGGGAGTAGTCTGCAGCGAGAAGAGGATCCCTGGCTTCAAGTTTGACAGCTCCCTGCTTAACCAGATAGAGGTAAATGTACCTACAGCTTCAAGCTGCTGCTCAGGAACATCCCTGCCTGCTGCTGGGTATTGCGGGTTATCCCACCCGCACGCTGTGGTTAAAGCAAACTCAACGATGCTCCGAGATGCTGGCTTGAAGGTGCAGTTTTCAGCTGCTCAGACCACTATATGTATCATAAGAATATGAAAGTGGGTTTTGGGGGTGGTTTTTAATAGCATAAGTAAGGTGAAAATATATTAATCCTGTTCTGCAATCGCTTCTTGATTGCAGACCGGTTGATTGCACTTCTAAGAATGGTTTTAGAGAGCCAGGATGGGTGCTGTGCTCATAGACCTTACGTCTGGGTGACTTCGTTGGTTCATAGTACTAAACAAGGAGCTTTCTTCCCCTTTCTGCCTCCCTTTTGGTACTGGGAACAGTTTGGAGGCCTCTGGTATAACAGGAGGTCAGCAGATCGGGCCGGATTTGGCGGTGAACAGGGTATACAGCCATGGCATGAAATGGGAGGATGTAGGAGGGGGATACATCTGTTTTGGCACAGTTTGGCCAAGCAGTGCTGAAGTAACCATGAAAACTGGATGGAAATATTTGTGGGAACGAGAGATTAGTGTGCAGGAAGTGCTGCAAGGGAGTGAAGAGGGGGAAACGGGGGCTGGTCACTGGGAGAAAGGCTCTGGGTTAGGACCAGCTTAGGCTGAGACCAAATGCTTGAATCACCAGCCAGGACTTGTTGGATTCCTGTAGAATGAGGAGCTGGGAAGAATTGGGGCTGAGCTTTTCGAAGCGTGAAAGAAAGTGGTGTTTTCCCTTGAGCTTTTCGTGTTGGGAAGTATTTGCGGTGACTCAGCCACCATCTCCCTTGTTTCGGGTGCTCTGGTGTGTCAGTGCGTGGGTTCAGTGGTTGCCCTTGGTCAGAAGAGCCCATCCAGTAACTACAGCCAAATGACTGGCAGGGAATCCAGGGTGTATCACTTTGCAGCAAGGTTTCCATGGCTGGATCTTGGCTTTGTTCATGATCTGAAACAATGGATAGAGCTGCCTTTACCTCTGGAAACCCAAATGACTCCAGCAGGTTCAGAAAGGGACTTCCAGCATTTTCTTCTCCTTTAGGAAGAGCACTGCACGGGTGAGCAGGCAGCATCCAGCACCGCCATGGAAAGCTCCTGTGCAAGGGGGCAGATATGGGATGTGAGAGCTGAAACTCTCCTCCTTGCCTTGCCCTTGCTTCACTCGGCTTGGGAGGGAAAGGCGGCTTTCCAGAGGGATCCCAAGCTGCCTCTGTCAATGGCACTGTTGTTGCTCGGGGAATGAGGCGAGCTCATGGAACATCAGTGATGGCTTTGGCAGACGTGTGCTTCCCCAAAGCCACAGGGAAGCCTCACAACAGAGGCCTGGAAGAAAAGATGCTTCAGTCTAGACAGAGGTCACTTCTCTTAGATTAATCATAAAGCTTTAGAGGGTCTGCTTTTCCATTAGCTCAGCCCTGGGGGTTGACTAATGAGTTGAGCACATTGGGTAATGCAGGCCCAGCTTGTGGTGGTGCTGTGTGGGTGCTTAAGCTTCACATACGATAAGTACAATGAATCAGAAGGTTGAAGCAGTTCCTGTAGCAGAAGCCTGGCTCGTCAGTGGGAGAAATAGATGGAAGAGAAGTCGTATTCCCCATGTCCTGATAGCGCCGGGGAGCTGCGGATGGATGAAGCCATTCATTGGTGTGAGCAGGACCAGTATTCACAGGGGGAGGAAAGTTCCTGCTTCTACTTTACAAAACCCAACTGACTTTTCTTGTATCCCCATAAGATCAGGGGCAGCTGAAGGGTTCTTTCCCTTTCCTGTGTGGGTTTCCTTGCAGCAGGACTAAGGCTAAAGGTGCTGTGCTATATACATTTCAAGATGCTCTTGTGGAAGCACTTCTCAGACACAGCGCTCTGTGCAGTGCCTAAAGTCCTTCCCCCTTTCTCAGCCTTTCTCCTCATAAACTTTGCTTTCTCTCATTAGCAGCTGCTGTGACATAGTTTGAGTCAAAGCTGATGAGCAGGGTTACTCAGAGGGTCACAAACTCCAAACCAGGGAGGTCAAAAGGCTTGTGTGAATGCACGTTGAAAGTCTTTGCCCTCTCCAGCCCGCCTGGGAATTCTGCACATCGTACCTCGCGTTCGCCAGAGGAAACAGCACTGCTCTGTAAGCTGCTGGGTCTTTAGCCTGTGGCCCAAAGCTTGCCCGAGTGATGTTTTCTCTTTGGAATGAGACCGGGGCTTGAGGAGCCTGGAATTCCCTGCTGAGCAGCAGTGCTGTGGTCAGGTCTCTCCACCAGCCCCACTGGCTTCAGTTATGGCACGGACAGAGCTAAACCTGTCCAGTCCCACTGAGATTTCCAAGGGAAACATTTCAGTTTGCCCTTAAACTGCTTTTAAAACCAGGTTTGACTCGAAATAGGCCTGGTTTAAGATGATGCACAGAGCTTACGTACCCAGTTGTACCTCCCAGTGCTGCTTTCCCACCGTAGTGAGTAACAACTGTAACGATTCCCAAATGGATCTGTTTGCAAACCGGTGCTTTTACAGCCAGCAGACGAACAGGAGTGAGCAGTGACTTGAGTGTGGTCTGTGTGTAAGCTCCAGTTTTGTTCTGCTCTCCTCTTCCAAGCATTCGTGCTTGGTGCAGCCTGGTTCACCCATCACCAAACGTGCCCTCACGCTTAGATCTCCTTTGTAATAGGGAGCTCTGCGTGTTCCTCCTGCCAGGGACCGTCTTAAATCCATCATTTAGAAGGTATCTTAAAGACCCTTTGGTAGTAAGTTCCGTGGGGCTGCCAAGTGCTGCCCAGATGTAATGTGCAAAGGCAGTAAGTGCAAGACACCATCTGACTTCATTCGGATGGGGCTGTGCAAATTGCCATCGCTTCAAACTTGGCCTTGCTTCCTTTGCTTCTGAAGGCAAAGAGTTTGCGCTTGTAAAAGCAGCGTGATAGCCCTCAAGCAGCTTGTTTTGACTGGGCAATGTTCATCTCTCCATATCCCAGTCTGGAAATGCTGCAGATAAGTAGTATAGGATGAATTTTTCCACCCCCATAAACCACTTGGCTTATATATGTGTATGCTCAGATCTTTTCCCGTCACAGCTCATATTTAGAGGGTTAAGTCACTTCTCTTCCTGTCCCTGAGCCTTTCCATTCCCTGCCCTGTTGGGAAGGGGCAGTGCCTGACCCTGCTCCTGTGAGACAAGTTACTAGTCACAGGCCACAGTGGAAGGTTTCAGTCGAGGGTGAGTGATGGAAGGGCTGTGATAAGAAGACAGGAGGCAGGAAGAGGTCAACCCTTCCAACAGGACCGAGGCTGGGATGGGTCTGAAATCCATCAGCCTCTTGCTAAAGGGCAGAGAAACTCCATCACTTTTGGTTGCTGTTTTCTGCAGCTTTCAGCTTTGGGACTCGTTCAAAGGGTTCTGTCTGGGAGGGTGATGAATGGGCAGAGCAGAACAGCCCTTTCACGAGCTGCTGCCAGCTCGGGATTAGCCTGGTCCCCTTTTAGCTCAGGGGCTGCACAAACAGTGGAGGTTGCTCACCTTTGCAGAGCCAGGGGAGCAGTGTTTGTTCAGCACTGACGTGTGACGGCATCGAGTGCATTTTTCAGAGGGGCTTTTCCCCCTCCTCTTTAAAGCATCTGCACTAAATAGGCAGCTTCTCGTTAATGGAGAGAGCAGGGCTTGTGGTTTGACTTTGCTATTGCCTCTGGGAGCATTAGGAGGGGAAAAGCAGGTACACATCCTGCTGGAATCACATCCCCTCCCTCCTCCAGACCCAGCTCCGTGACTGTGATCCACATGGCCTGAAGAGGCGCGGAAAAGCAGTAGCTGTGCTTGGAAGTGCTGCAGTTGTGTGGCTGAGCATGGCTTAACCCAGTGATCGTCTGTGGACGTGGGGATGGTTGGGAACTCAAAGCTGGCACTGAACCTGCTCGCTTCAGTCCTCTGCATCCAGGCCCAAGTTGTTGTTAAAGTGACTCCAAGTCTGGCTTCTGCTGGATTTCTTCTTTTTGAGCCACAGCCTGGAGGCAAAGCTCTGGTTTGTGCACTCGAATTCCCAGCAGTGGCTTGATGGTGCAGCTCGGGTCTAACCAAGCTGACAGAGCACGTCACCCACTTCATTTGTACCGGTGACTCTTGGAGGCATCACAGGGTGGCAGGAACACTGCGAGTGGCGTCTTGGGAGCTCAGGGGGAAGGAGAAGTCTGATCACATTGGGTTGAAGTGATGAAAAGAGCTGGGAGCAGGATCTGTGCTGTGGCAAAAGGCCTAAAGAGGAGGATAAAACCAGTGCAGAAGTCGCAGGATGACTGTTGGTTCTTGCCTTGAAGTTCACAAGTGCCTGAAAGTGGGTCGTGTGGACCTGCCTTAAAGTTCCTTTAGAGAGTGCCAAAGGCTGCACTTTAAATGCGTGCACAGGCTCCAGCGTTTTCCCAAGTGTTTGTAGGATGCCAGAAGCTCGGAAATCAAAGTGGTTTAATGTGTGCTCACAAAACCAGGAGCAGGGAATGCTCTCCCTGCTTCTCCAAACAGGACATGCAGCCACTTGGTGTTGTCCAGACACAGCACAGGCCCTCCTGCAAGTGCCTGAATGGGTTGAGCACCAGTTCTAAGGCCGCAGGAACTAACTCCTGCCCTTAATAGATTTCTTACATAAATGCACCATAGGTCCTTTATTTTAACCCAAAAACATCCTTAACAAAATATTTGTTGTCCACCCTCTTCCTCTGGGTGCACAGAGAGGCTTCAAATAGGACATGCTCTAAATATATCGCATTCCTGGGGACGTCACACGTCCACAAACAGGTCTGGTACCTGAGACTACCCCCAGCTTTGGCCAGACAGTGGGCAGGCAAAGTCTGAACATACCAGCTATTTCTGGCCTTCTCCTCCTTTCTGGGGGTATGTGAAGCATAAAGAAATCTCACTTCCAGGTCCAGGGGCACAAAGGCTCTGATTGTACCAGGTTACGAGCGAGTTGAACCACATTGTCCAAGTTTCCCAGGCAGTGGGGAGGGTGCTGTGAATTCCTGCTCAGGAGCTTTCAGTCAGGTTGGGCGCTGTGGATGGGGCTCTATCAAATCATAGAGTCATGGAATGGGTTGGGTTGGAAGCGAGCTTGCCCCGCCCCCCCCCCCGGCCAGGGGCAGGGCCCCCTTCCACTAGAGCAGGTTGCTCCAAGCCCCATCCAACCTTGACTGATTGAACACTTCCAGGGCTCTGGAATGCTCCTGTGGGCTGAGCTACTTAACCAGAAGGTTTAAGGAGGGAGGATGGGGCCGTTGTTGCTCAGCACACAGGTAGATCTTCCTCTTCTCTAGCTTTTTGTCATGCAAACCAGTGGGGGCTCTCTCCATGCGGTGGGGAGCTGCAGCCGTCTCAGGTCACCACCAGCTCAGGCCCCAGCTCTGGGTCTGACCGTCCAGCTCTCAGAACCTTTGGCAATGAAAGGTTTCTCCGCCTGTTTGTTATGACAACAGTGGTTCAGCTTCTGTCCCCGTGCTGTAAATGTTCACTGCTCTCAACATAAGCCCATGTGCAACATCAGTGCTGATGCTTGGCGTGCCTAGAAGGGGTCTTCAGCATCTCCTCTGCAGCAAACTCCAGCTGCCACTGGGATAAGCCACTGTGTTTCTCTAGTGCTGCAATTTGAAGTGGGTCTGATAGTTTCTAGCTGCTTTCCTCAATGGGTCCTGCCGTCTGCTGCTCCTGTCACCAGGGTTTCTAGTGCTTTCCGCTGTCCTGCTCTGCGCTGGCAATGGTGAGGCTGCTGCTGGAGCAGTTCACAGCTCAGCAAAGGCCTTGGCTTTTGTCATTCACAGTCTGGCCCCTAATCCTGGGTTGCTCTCTCATCCTTTACCCTTTTGTACCGCACAAACCCAGAACAAAAAGTGCTCGTGGTCCAGTAGAGCATCACATTCCCAGGGGATTGCTGTCCCCCATCAGCAGCCCGGCTGGGTCTTGCAGCATCTATCTCACTGTGTTTATTTAACAGCTGGGACTTTGTGAGTGACTCAGAGGCAAAGCTCCAGATGGTTAAAGCAAAACAGATTCCACCCATTCCCCTGGATGTGAAGAGGGAGCTTTGTGAAAAGTCAGCTCCAGGGGACAGGACTTGGGAGCTGAGACTTCAGTGGAAGTGAGGGAAGGGTTTGAATACAGGAGAGAAGATGCCTCTGGGAGAAACGGAGTTTGTGGGAAGACTTTGTGTGATGTTTTTAATATTTCAAAAGAAATAATGTCCAGTCCAAGCCACAGCCTTAAAGTCTCCGTGTTTGGGAAGCCGAGAACTGGAGCTTCGCTCAACATGAGAAGTGATGACCTGAATAGGGTTCTGCATCTAAGGCATAAGGAAGGAAGGAGCAGTTTGAGTGGATGACAGGGGATCTTCAAGCAGGAGAGCAACAACTATGGACCAGGCAGGGACAGAGAGAGCACCTCCATCCTCTGCCCTGCGCTCCTCAGCGGCTCCGCTGGGGATGGGTTCATTCCTGGTGCCCTTCCTGCCTGTTTTGGGTAGTTTCTCCGGTTGTGGCTGTTCAGACCCACCTCATGCAGTTCTCTGGCTGCTTTCTGACCAGCATCGCGGTGCCTTTGAAGTGAGCATTAAGATCCTCTCCGAACAAGCCCCTCGGAGATCCCAGTGGCTGCAGTTTCCTTCCAGCCAGGAGCCAGGATTCAGAACCGTGTGAAGGAGCTGGGTTTCTAGGAATGGGATCTGCTCCCTGTATCGGTCACTGTGCACCCGCAGGGCTGCTGCAGAGCCCGGGCAGTGGAGGAGGACACTGTCCTGGCTGTGATTGTTCTGCCACCACAACACACATGGCAAAAGGTGAAAGAAAACATCGGGAGCTGGGTCGGTTTCTGCAGTGGGATCCGGAGCCACAGGGAAGTGTTTGGTTCAGAGTGGAAACAAAAGCCATTGAGGCTCATATGAACATGTTCCAAGCCAGGAATCCTTTTGTGAAAGCTCAAACCAAACCCCTTTCTTTTCGCTGTGCCTGGGCAGGCCCTGGCCTTCCAAAGCTGAGCTTCTTTGGGTTATAATAGCAGCACGTTGCCTTCCTGTGGGCTTTTGTGTGCGGGGCTGGGGTGCTGGTACCGGGTGCCCAGGGAAGCTGTGGCTGCTCTAAGGTTCCTTCCATCCCAAACCATTCTAGGAAGCGAGTCTGTGGCCTGGGCAGAGCAGGTACCGTTGCCCTTCGAATGACTGCTTGGCTCCTGCGCTGCCGTTGAAGGCTGGACTTGATGGTTGATACATGAGGTGGGAGCTCTCCAAGGGTCCATTCAGCTTCTGAGTCAGTTGCTTGGTGGCCCTTCAGAGGATTTACCAGTCTCCCTTGTAGCTCCAGTGCGTGGCTTTAGTGTGAGCAGGAATAAGGCTTTCGGCGATGAGACTTCCCAGTGGAGGTGGCAGTTTGTTGTGGGTGTTTGTCTCCACGTGTACATAACGTATGGGGAGGGTGATTTTAAAGTCTGTTCTAGCCATTAAGTATTGTTTGCTTCTGATTTTTATGTGGAGCCTGTTTTCAGCATTAGCTGCTCTGCACACTGGTGGTGGATGATACAACACATCTGCCTGTATGTGCGTTACCCAATGCTCTCAGTGCGGCACAAACTGCAGTGAAAGGAAACCATCAAAAGCTGCAGTGAGAGGAGAAAACTCTTGGTTCTTGCTCCTTGGGAAACCTGCAGCTTCCTCAGCTTGGTCCTTTGGTCTGGAACCCTCCACTATAAAGCTGAGCTCCACAACACGTTGAGCTCTGTGCAAAGCCTCGAGCTGCTCTATCAATAAGTCTCTGCTCTCACCTTCCCCTCTGGCAGTGGGAAGGGGGATGGATGGGGACTGGGTTTGCTCTCAGCCACATCATGAAAACGTCATTGCGTGCTGGTCTGCTGTGTCTATCTGAGGCTGAAACGCCCTCGAGGGAACGAAATGATGGCTCATTTCTTGCTTATTTGCTCACTTTGCTTTTTCATCCTTGGCAAACAGGGGCAAAAAATCCCATGACAAAGGAGTTGGACTCATAAAGAATCCCAGGTCAGAGCAGGGTTCGGGTTTGTGTCTGTGTCAGCATCTCTGGGGGAAGAGAGATGTGGTGTGGGACGTGTTTAGGAGGAACTCTCTGCATTGCAGGCACACAGGAGGCAAGTTTGCTCTGGCATCAGACCCTCTGAGCACCCCAAAGTGCCTCAGATCTAACAAACTCGGGTATTGGCCCAAAGTGTGAACCTGGTATGAGCAGCACTGCCCTAAGGGCTAAATCACAGCAGTTTGGTTTGTAGGTTTTCATGGATGCTGAGTTGCTGGAGGACTGCATTCTTGCAGCTGAAGGAAGGGAGGAATCACTCAGCTATTTGGCTGTAAAATAGGTGGTAAATGGAGATAATAAAGAAAGGGAAAAGAAGGAAGAAGAAAAGCCTCAAGTGACTTGCCCAAGGTAGTGTGGGCAGGGGCGAGGGAGGGGGAGATGCCTGCCCCTCTCCCTGCCCCTCTCCCTGCCCCAGCAGGCTCTTGCTCTGCACTTGGTCTCCCCTTGCCTGGCTTCTGTCGGTTGCATCAGCGCTGGGGAAGCGGCTGGAGATGGATGTGCCACGTGTCATCTGCAGGACTCTGCACGTCCGACTGTGATCTCCTGCCTTAGTACCTCTGCCTGACCAGGAGCTTGTGTCTCTTTAAAGCTCTGGGCATTCTTCTTTTCCAAGTCATTGGATTTGAGCAGAGGAGAGAATTCCTGAGCTCTGATGTAACCGTCAGCAGAACCACGTGGGCTCATACATTTTTTGACAAGGAAAAGTCTCCTTGGAAGCAAGTTATAACATTTTCAGTAGCTCTTTTGTACTTTCAGCAGCTATTTTCCAGCCGGCCTCTGCTGTTGGGCTCGGGTCCTGCAAAGCTGGTTTGTGCCGTGCCCTCAGGTAGGCTCCACATGTGAAATCCATTCAACCTTCCCAACTCATTTGCTGTCCCCAGTAATGCTGTGGCTGGAGGAGGACCCCAGCTTGGTGCTGGTGTCAGCACAACAGGGTCCCAGCTTTCCCAGTGCCTGCCCAGGCCAGGAGGGGAAGGGATTCCCAGGGGCTTGACGAGACCCCTCACGTCCTTCCCTGCCAGGGCTCCCGCTTCCCAGCGTGAAGGTGTCCCTGGCAAAGCTGGAGCCGGGTTCACTTCCATAGTAGCTGAGACTGAACTAATGTCACTGTGCACCTCAAACAAGCCCTTCAATGAGTTTAAGTAACGAGGGGGATTTGTTCCGCAGCCGTTTGTGCAGACATGGGTTTTGTCTCTAAATGGGCAATAGCATCCTCCCGTGCGGGCTGGGGGATGGACTTGCACAGGGTGGAAAGGTTGGTTCCCTTCTCTCTTGTGTCTCTTCCCACACAACTCTGCGCCTCTCTGAGCAGAACTGGGTTTTCCTCCCGTCTCGAAGCCACCCAACCCGTTTCCTTGCAATCCAGCATCATCTCTGTTCCCTTTGTGCTTTCAGAACATGAACATCCAGGTGGAGGACATCAGGATCCGACCCATCCTCGCCACTTACCGCAAGCGGGTGCCCGTCACGGAGGGGTACGTGGAGGTGAAGGATGAAGGGACCTGGAAGCAGATCTGTGACAAGCACTGGACCATGAAGAATTCCCGCGTCGTCTGTGGCATGTTTGGCTTCCCGAGCGAGAGGAAATACAACACCAACGTCTACAAGTAAGAGCAGAGCTTTGTGTGAGACACCAGCGGGTTCCTTTGAGCACCTTGTTCAGGAATGCAAACTGTCAAGTGACACAGGCAGAAAACCCTCCAACTGCCTCATTCCTGCCGGTCAGATTCTCCTCCTGTGTCAGTCCTTGGAAGTATTGACACGGCCTTGTGCAGACAGGGGGTCGTTCCATCCTCCCCATCGCGGCTGAAGACCTAGCGCAGCGTCACTTGGAGTAGCTGGTGTAGGTCCTATAACCCCAAGAAACCTGTGGGGTTTTTCCAGCTGTAGAACAGCCCTTTCCTCCACCAGAGATAGGTTGTGTTGTGTGCAGGGGATGGGTGGATGTGACCAAACTGATCCCACTCTGCCCCTAAACCCATCGGCTGCAGGACAGTCTCTGCTTACCCCGTCCCTCTGCAGAAAGGCAGCCGTAGGAGCGGGGCTGACACATGCTGAAAGCTCCAACCAAGTCATCTTGCAATAAACCAGGTCTTTGTGCTTTGTTGCCCAGGTTCCTCCTTCCCACTCCTGGTCTCCCACCCCTCGTGACGAGTCTACCCACATGGGAGCTGCTCTGGCTCTCACCAGCCATAGTTCATGGGGATCCAGCTGCCAAATCCCCCACAAAGGATATTTCCCAGCGTGTCTCCTGCTGTTGTTCGCCCCAGTTCAGCTCCTTTGGCTCCAGCCCCTCGAGGTCCCAGGCTGGAAGAGAGTCTTGCTCTCTCCATTCAAGCCTGCTCTGAACTGAGAGTACTGGGCTAAGGATATCAGTAGCACATCCCTGCTGCTCCTCCCATCATCGCTTCTGCCTGCCCAGCTCAGACGGTGCTTGTAGAAAGATGCAGTTGTGATTTTTAGTGCTGCTTTTTCTTCCTGTAGCTGTAGATCGCTCCAAAATGAGGGAAGAATCCAGTGATCCATAGGGAGAATATTGTTGCAAGCTGATGGCTTTAGGCTGTGTTTCTTGGAAGCCAGGAGCTCTGGGCTTTTTTGTTATCACTGCTTCAGTTTGCATTTCACCACCAGCCTTCACCGCAGACGTGCTTCTTCCTACACTTTTCCCTAGAAATAACACCCTAAAGCAGATGCAAAACAGTTTAAGTGAAATTCTGTCTCATTTCTTTCCTACCCTGTGACCTGGGGAGTGGGGAAGCTTCGATGTCGGGGACAGAGCTGAGCTCTCCAGGCAGGACTGGGGTTTTCCTGCCGGCCCCTCCTGGCCTGTGGAATCGCTGTTTCTGGAAGCTCCCCCCGGAGCTGCCTGGCCACATTTCATATCTTTCATTAGCCAGGTTGTGCTCGGTTGAGGAGGTCCTTGGGCTGGAATGGTGCAAAGCAGCACAGGGAGCACCGGGTAACGAACCTGGGTGGAATTCTGCTTCCCGGCTTCCCAGGCACAAGAGCGGTGGATCAATAATTGCTACCAGGTGGCCTCATGTTTTGCCCTGGACACCACTTAGAGGAGTGTTGCTTCCATCAGTGCAGCAAACTCCTCCCTGAGGTTCCCAGCCCCTGCATCGGAGCAGGAAGGAGAAATGACCCCTGGAAGCACAAAGGAGATTTTTCCTGCTTCTTAGTTGTGGTGTTTCCAAGAAGAGCATTAATGGAGCAGCTGGAGCCATCTGCCTTCTGTGAGAGGGTGCTTGGAAATGGTCCCATCTCTTGCAATAGAGTTGGAAAACCTGAGGCACAGTTATCCAGCAGTGTTAAGACCCCACTGACCGGAGCTGGAGTTAGGAACATGCCATGTGCCTACAAATACCAGGCTTGGAGATCCTGAGGCTTAAGCAGCCTCAGTGTCCTAATACCTCCCTCACCTTCGCGTGGTTTTGGCAAGCAGTAGCAGTTTGCACCCACACAGGGATGTTTTGGAAGCTGTGCTGAGCATTATCCCAGGCTGGAAAGTGGGATGTTGGTTTATTGCAGGGAAGAGACTTGTAGAACCGTGTCAGTGAGACAGTGCTGTTTGCTTCGCACGGTTCCGTGTTCTTCCTGGGGCTTTGTGCTTTGTCACATACATCGTGTGCAGCCAGTGCTGCCGGGGAGGGAACCCCCCACTTCTGGGCTGGGAACTTCACCAGGGGTCTTTGCTTCATGGCCAAGGTACTGGAATGAAGAGCAGTGTAAGCTGCTGGCTGCTGCGTGCCCCTGCTTCTGGTCTCATTCTGCCTTGGAGAGGGATGAGCTCACCTCCGGCTGGGCACTGGAACCCAACCCTCCCTCCATGCGAGTGTGAAGCCTCAGAAACGTTCTGTTCACTTCTCAGGCTTTGCTCCCCCTCTCTTGTAAATCCCATTCTCCAAGAGCGGATCCTTTCCCGCTCCTGCTCCGCAGATGGGAGACGGGCTGGAATCAGGTTTCTGCTGGGGCTCGGTGCCCCTTCCCACATCCCTGCCAGCCCCATTCCCCACATGCTGAGCTGGCGGATCCCCTGCTTCTGCACAATGGTGGGAGGTGAAATGATTTACAGATGGATCTTGCTTGAAAGAAAACAACTTAGTTCATTGTTGTCCCGGTGCCAAGGTTTTATTCCTGACTGTAGCCGGGGCCGGGCAGCTGACAGCACGATTTATGGTAGGAAACGGGACAAATCTCAGTGTTGTTTCCATGTTCTTGTTCATTCTTCAAAGTGATTTGCCATAGACACTGCTTGGGAACTCCTCCTCCCAGTCCCTGCTCTGGTTGAGGGGGCAGAGGAGGATTCAATGCGTTTTGCTGATGGGGACAGGAGAAGGCTCTGACAGGAGGTGCCTCAGGCAGAGAACGGGACCTGGTGCCCTCCTGAGGCCCTTCCAGCCTTGTGGTTTGCCACAGAAGTGCGAGGAGGAGCCCAGCACCTCCAGGACACTTGGTCCAGTGTCAACCCAACAGCAGCTCCCTGTTGAACCAGTCTGCTCGTGCAGCACGAAGCTGCTCGGTGCGGGGGGCAGCTCATCACTGCCCTGCTTCCAGCAGAGATCCTCATGGATTGGGCTCTCCCCGGCAAAGCCAGGGTCTTAAAGGCTTTCCAGGAGGTGCAAGTCTGGCTCCTCTTCTGCCTCGCTGAGGCTGAAGGCAGCAACAGGAAAGGCTTGAACTTCGCGAGGGTAAAGACTCGATGCTCAGCCCCTGTGAGGAGCTCCCCAGCTCCTGTTGAGTGTGTTTGGGTGAGTTTCCCAGCGTGAATGTGTTCAGGGATGAGCGTTCTGCTCCCACGTTCCTCCCGGGTGCGTTCTTCCATAGCCAGGCTCCTTTAGCTAAACCTGCAGCCACTTCCCACAGCCCTTGGGCTTGATCTGTGTCTTTGATTAAAGCTCATGTGGGGAAGCTCCCTCCCTCCTCCCCAGCAGAAAGGATTCGGACTCCAGCTTGCCCTGAACTCTCGCAGCGACTGTTCGCTCACACCTCGTGTTGCTCTTGGCTTACACCAAGGCCAGTGCGAGGTGGGTTGCAGCCTTTCTGTGCTGCAAAGTGACTAACAGGGATGCCCTGGGTTTCTGTCTGCACACATCAGCTGTATCCCGCTTCTTATCCCAGGGAAACGAGGTGGGGCTTTCTCTGGCTCGCTCTCCCCAGCCTACCAAGGGCTGTTAATACCAACCAGATGTTAAAGCCTCATGAAGTTTCCAGGATGAGGTCACTGTTTGCTATTCTAAGGCATCCCCACAATGACTTCTCGAAGACAGGCCGTGTTTCTTGTCTGCTTTGGAATTCATGGAGCTCTCCTCGCGTGTCCGCAGAAGGAAATGCTCCTTCAGGTTCTCGCTTCCATCCTGAACACACACAGGGACGCGGAGGGTGCCGGGGCAGAGCTGGCTCCTGCAAGGACATACGGAGCGGTGGCGCTGAACCAGGTGCTTTCCAGGGTACTGCACGTGTCAAAAAGCCCTGGAAGCCTCTGCCCTTTATTATGTGTCTGGCATTGTCGCTCCAGCTCCACTGTTGATGCACGCTCTGATCTTTAGCTTGAGGAGATGACCCATTTACTCCCAAGTGTCCCCTTAACAGAGAGCCATCGTGTGTATGAATGGATGAGCCTTCAATAATGCTGCTCGATCCTGTATCTGCGCCAGTGTGGATCTTATGGACTCCTCTTACTTGTCCTGGCCTCTTCCACCCCTTGCAGGATGTTTGCCAGCAGGAGGAAGCAGCAGTACTGGGCGTACTCAATGGACTGCAGTGGGAATGAAGCTCACATCTCCAGCTGCAAACTGGGCAATCACCTCAACGTGGATGCAGAGAAGAACGCGACGTGTGACAATGGGATGCCTGCGGTAGTCAGCTGTGTCCCGGGACGTGCCTTTGCCCCCAGCAGCCACAGTGGCTTCCGAAAAGCCTTCAGGCAGGAGGTGAGTAGGAGAAGCCTGTTGTGGAAGTGTCCCCTCCTTGTGTTCCTGTCTCACTGCATGGTCAGGGGGGGATCCTGCCCCTCTGCTGTGCTCTGGGCAGGCCCCCCCTGCAGCCCTGGTCCAGCTCTGGGGAACAGCACAAGAGGGATGTGGAGCTGTTGGAGCGGGGCCATGAAGCAGCTCTGCTCTGGAGCCAGGCTGGGAGAGCTGGGCTGGGGCAGCTGGAGAAGAGAAGGCTCCTCAAGGGGACACCTTCGAGCAGCTCCAGTGCCCCAAGGGGCTCCAGGAAACCTGGAGAGGGGCTTGGGACAAGGGAGGGAGGGACAGGGACAGGACAAGGGGGATGGCTTGAACCTGCCAGAGGGGAGATTGAGATGAGCTCTTGGGCAGAAGGTTGAACGAGCCGTGTGTGTTCAGTCCAGCAAGGAGAGGGCTGAGTGTAGCAGAAAAAGAGATGCAAAAGCCTTATAAAAAGTCCCTGGAGTCAGTTAGAACAGTTTAACTTGCAGCAAATGTTGTTCAGCTCGATGCTAAGGGCAATATTCCAGTTGTAAGGGATGTGCCTTAGGATACAGAGGTGGTCTTTAGGTCTGGAGGCCCCTAATGCTGGCTTAGAGGGTTATTTCCCAAGGTGTTGTTTGCCCTTGGGTGCAGCCTCCACCACCCAGACCTAATTCTATGGCTTTAGGAGCGGGCTTCATCCCGACACCACCTCTGGCCCCTGCTGTGGTGGGAATAGTGTGCTCCTGACCCTGCTTTGCCAGCCTGGAGCCCACAAGAGTTTGCAGCATCCAGGCGTCAGAGGTGAAAGGTGTTGTGAACCGTGGCTGATCTCCTGAGCCAGGACCCCAGCCCGGGAGCTGCTCGTGCTTCCAGCTCCAGAAGTTAAAGGGGTTTTTGGTCCCAGCTTCTGGCATGGTGCTCCCATAGCAGAGACTCAGCTCCTGCTGCATCGCTCGGGTGCCGCAGTAACTGGTGGGTCTCTGCTTGGTACTGGGCGAAGCTGTAAGTGATGTGTGGTTGGTGACAGAGCAAGAGCAGGAACTGATGGAACCGGACCTGCCGCTGATGTGTGTGAGCTGACAGGTCACTTATCCCCCTAGTAACTGCAGCAGACAGGTTTTACATGGCCTGAGGTCCATGTTGGTCTCTGGGTTAAGCCAGGACCTCAGGCTGGAGATGTGTGCAGCAAAGAACCCACCCAGTGGCTGCACCACAGGCAGCAAGTGGGAAAAGCCTCGTGTGAACTGGCTCGGGGCAATTCCCAAGCCTCCTCTAAGGCTCCCAGGAGACAAGCTGAGAAGTGGGTTGTCCCACGTCCAACCCCTCCGTTGTGCAGCAACGCTCTTGTGCTGCAAAACTGCTTGTGTGAAAAAGGCTCCAAAATCCAAGCACCAAAACTTCAGAGCAATAAAATGTCTCTTTATTCTCTGCCCGTGAACGGCCGTGCAAGAAACGGGTCCGTGCACACCGTGAGTCTTACCCAGTAAAGACCTGCTCTCATCCGGCACTTTTAGCCCTCTGTGTTACGTGCTGGTTGGTTTAAGGTGCTTCAGGGTGACACTTTTTGGGCCACAACTTGCCTGCAGCCACATGCCATAAGTAAGAGCTTTAAGAAAGGATGCTTTGTTCCTGGGCACTGGCAACCCCACCTCTGTCTGTGTCTTCCAGCAACCACTGGTGAGGCTGAAAGGAGGCGCCAACACTGGCGAGGGACGAGTGGAAGTGCTGAAGAACGGGGAATGGGGAACAGTTTGTGATGACAACTGGAACCTGGTGTCAGAGGGAGCGGGTCTTGGGCAGGGCAAAGAAAGCCATAACAGGAGCAAGGCTCGGGCAAGGTAAGAGCAGTGAGAGCTCTGGGGACCAGTCGTGCCTTGTCCACCTCCAAGAGCCCTTTCAGCCTCCAGGGCCGAGCCTATTTTTACTGGGATGTTTGTTTGAGGGGACCAGGAATTTGTTCTCTGCCCTTAATAAGTGTCTGGAGTCCCGGAGCTTGAGGCTGCGCTGGAAGATGTGACTTAGAAACAGATTCCTTGAAAGAAGGCTCCTGATGATGGGTTTAACCTTTCCCTCTTCCAGTTATTTCTTCTTCGTTATCGCATCTGCTGCTCTCAAATGCTCTTTGTAGGTTCTCCAGATCCACATCGTGGTGCAATGCATTACTAGAAGGTTCTTGGCACAAATGGGCCCTGGATCTGGATTTCAAACAGTCTCCAGTTTAAGACCAGAACATTAATTTAGCCCATTTTAAATAGAAGGGCATTTGAGCAGTTCAGAGCCAGGTTTGGGTTTGGATTTCCTGTGGTTGGGAGTTGGTTTAAATCCCAAGCTGTGGTAAATGGTAACTCGGAGCCTAACGTACGGCCTCTCAAACCACCTTCTGATTCACACACTTGTGCTGCCATAGTGTAAACCCCAAAGAAAACGGCACCAAACCCTTTCTTGGGAGACTGAATGAATGGGTGAAACTTCTCCAGCCCCTCCTGGCTTGCAGAGGAGGAGGGAGAGTGACAGCACATGTAAAGCACAGTGGTGGTGGCCAGGATCTGGAAAGCTTTAAAACGTGACCTGCCCCTTGGATTTGCCAAGATCTTGCAGCAGGATGCAGGGAGCTGCTGCTGTGTTCAGCTGCATCTAGGAAACAGCAGGATCATCATGGAAGGGAAGCAGCTGCCACAGGAGGGAGCAGAACACGCTGTTCCCTCTCCCATAGCCTGGAAACGCTCAGCAGCGGCTGCTGATTCCCACTCACTTTCCTTCCTTTCACCACCGAACACTGGCCATCAATCAGTGCAGCCGGGGCTGACAAGCCCTCAGGAACTCCCTTTAGCAGCCAAATCATCCCACTGTAGCAGGAAAAGGAGCTCTTTTGGCCCAAACTCACCTCCCTGCTCCCATGTCTCGGTGTCTGTGTAGGGGTTTTGGTACAGCTGCATCTTGATGCATTTGTGTGGTCGGAGGTGAATGGAAAGGACCAGTCTCATCATTGTTGTGCTGGAGATTCAATGTCACGGGGTGAACCACAGCAAGGTGGGCTCCGTGTCACATCATGGAGTGGTAGCTTATGGAGGTCCCAGTTAAGACAAAGTGACCTGTGAGAGACAAGTGCCCCCCCCCCCAAAGTGTTCAGGCAGCATCACACAAGATCTATACAATGAAGGAGCAGGCTCCAAGGCTGAGGCTCCTGGGAATGTCTATCCAGCCTCTTTTTCCCTCTCTCTCATTAAAGTCCTGTTTGTGGTCTACATCTGGAAATGGTGACACTGACCCAGTCATTTTGCAAGCCACCGACCACTTGGAGTAGGAGGAATGCCTTGATGCTGACCAGACCTGGAGGGTGATACCCCAGGAATGCAGCATGGATCCAGCCTGACATTCTCCACTGAAATAGCCCAGCAAAGTCATCCCAGTGGAATGCCAAAGCAAGAGGGCAGGGCCGTGGTGCTGAGCCACCAACCCGGGCACATCTGGTCTTCGGGGGGAAGTTCTTTTAGGCACATGGAGGCAGTAAGTGCTGCTTGTGACAAAAGCTGTATTTCCTCCCATGTCATTCCCTTCAGCAGCAGAACAGGATGAGGAGTGGATTATGTGTATGCCAAGAAAGACTTTGGTTGTTCTTTGTGGTGAAGATCATCAGCTGGAACCTCTGATTCATCCCCCAAAAAGCTCCTTTCTAACCAGCTTCGGGCTCAGCTTGGAAACGGGAGCTGCTTTGCAGGCAGGACTCTTCTCATGTGTCCCTCTCCTCTTGCTGCATCTCTTTGGTAGAAGCAACAGTTTTCTGCTGCCACTTGTCCAAAGAGGAACCAGATTGTTCCCTTTGGCTCCCAACACCTTGAAGCCACTCTCTGTGGTATGAAATGATGCTCGCTCTTGTTTCCATGAGCGGTGTTGGAGTCCATAGCACAAACCTGCCCCAGAGCTGTTCCACTGACTCCTCACACATCCCGGCACTGTTATATTCTGTTGTCCCATTTAAATGTCAGGTCTTGATTGGGAGCAGATTCCCACACACAGACCCAGCCAGAAGGATTCTTACAGCTGAGGTCTGGAACAATGGGAAGTTTTGGCTCTTCCTGCAGCTCTTTGGTGCTCGAGCCCCAGAGATGCTGGAAAGAATTTAATGGTAAAATTATTAATCTTATCCTGCAGCTTTTTGTTGGAGTTTTACATGAAATGCTTGGAATGTTTTCAGGATTGCTGCACTTTGATGCCTGCAGTGTGTTATAAACTGCTACTTGGACATTCCTTCACCACACGGTAGCATGGGCAGAAGGTAAAACCTCTCTTTTCCTTCCCTCCCAAGGCATGGGTCCGATCCACCTAAACGAAATCGATTGCACTGGCTTTGAGAAGTCAGTCACAGACTGCAAGTTCAACATGGAGTCCCAGGGCTGTAACCATGAAGAAGATGCTGCTGTGAGATGCAATGTCCCAGCGATGGGCTTCCAGAATCAGGTGAGAAATCAAGTGATGCAGACGGGAGCGAGCACCGCGGGGTGTGTTCAACCCAGAGCATCATCTGCTCTTCCTTGCTGTGCAGGAATCACGTCACTTAAGCTGTGCCTATTCAGTTTGGATTTTAACACTGCATTGTATTAGCCAGGAGGGCAAATGAGGGGGATGCTCCCTTTTTTACTGAGCCTTGAGCTCGACAGAGGCTGATAAACGGGCGCAGCACCACTTCAGCTGCAATCTGTGCAGGCCAGTGGCGCGGGTGCGCATCCCTGTCGCGACGGGACCTTGAACCAAGGTTCGGGGCTCTGAAGCCTCGAGGAGCCCCAATGCTGCACCTTTGTGTTCTCACCTGCGCCGTGTTGTGCCCTGCAGCTGCGGCTGAGCGGCGGCCGCAACCCCTACGAGGGCCGCGTGGAGGTGCTGGCCGAGCGCAACGGAACCCTGCGCTGGGGCACGGTGTGCAGCGAGAGCTGGAGCACGGTGGAGGCCATGGTGGTGTGTCGGCAGCT